CTTTAAAAGAAAAAAATGCAAAGAAATGTATTTTCTCAACTCCTGTGCAGTTTAYTCTAAATGCGTATATAGCACTGTTRTAAYATACRTCTACAACCAAAATACAATAGTGTATATTAAAATATCTCATTCACTTTCCTAAGGCAAATCCGTTCCACTCACACCCGTCAATTCTAATAAAATCCAATGCAATACTCGTTTCTATTTGCTTTTATGTGCAGAAACTTTGGCCAGAAATTTATCCGGAGGTCATWCTGCTGGATTATCTCTTCAATGGCGAGCGTCAAATTAATGCCACTGTCGCCGTCTTAATTATATCGTGCATCATAGATCTGCAGGAGGATTTTCGGTATTACGTGAAACGTAACTTTCTGCGCTATCTGCTCAAGTAAGTGAATCGAAGGGGTGTCTTAGCATACCGAAGTGCATGTGAGCAGCTGATAAACGAAATTAGTTATAAAGTAGTTCATTAGATTGTGTCCACACGTAAGCACCAGCAGCCATATGGAAAGATAGCAGACTATGTAATGTAATGTTTATGTAGTCAGCATCACAAGCTCTTACACTTGGTATGTATATAACAATAATTAAGCTCAGTGGCGAAATTGRGACTTATGCCAAATGGCCGAAGACSGAGGAGTTACTTAGTTTGCTTGGCAAAATGTGTAAAGTTTTAGTGTTTGACCTTTTCGCTTGCCAAATGCCACTARCCACTGGTTAATCAACCACTAATTCGCCCACTCGTTACTTTTTTCTTWATATTGGTGGCTTTATTTTAATTCGGTTCTTACTTATTTGTGTGCTGTTTTATAGATCGCCTYTGGAACGCAAACGTCTGCAGTTGGAAATGGAGCCACCGGATTTTCCGCAGTTAATCATACGTGGTCCAGTGCCATATAAAGTAAATGTACAGTTAGCACGTAATCGTCTAGACCAACTTTTAATGGTAACACATCCCATTATAAGGGCACTCAACCAGCTGTGGCATCAGTTGTGAGTATAATAAGAGACAATATTTAAAGAAAAGTGAGGGAAATATGTACTCGAAATGAAAGTATTAGCAAAGCAGAACTCCTGTCGAGATGACGTAGAGATGGATAAAAAGGTTGCTTTTTAACCGTGAACAAAGATCTTTTATATTTAGGATATTTTCTTTAAATTTGAAACTTTTTGAACTATTTTCGATACTTCACCAAGTGGCCGATTTCACGGGTTCTAGAAAAACAACTATTTTTTGGGTCCTTTCTATTCATGGCACATCTGAGTCAATAAAGCGGTGATTTCGCAAAGTTACCCTGWTGTAAACCGTGCTCAAATCTGACCCCTCATTATTTTTGTCTTTTACTGATGCATCAATCGATTTAATCCATAAAAATGAAAACGGATTTCTTAGCTCATCTACTTCCGAAATTTCTTTACTTGTTTGTCAGTAGTGCATATGTTATATTTTATCTATGTAAACAATATTRTGCCCATAGATACAACGATCTGGTTGTCATCGATGTTTCGAAGATCTTCTTGCGCGATCAACCCATGACAGCCGATGAAATGATTAGTTTTGTCGACGAGAGCTGTGAGGTTATACGCGATGTGAGTATAAAATCGACTACAAAGCAAAGAAATTAAAAACAAAAACGAAAACATCACACCAATGTAGTTACTGTTGAATGACTGGCTGCCGCGCTGTGCCGACTTGGTGGATGTTATGCGTCGTACCTGGAAGGATYTGGTGCCAATGAATCAGCGATATGGTGGACGCGCTGCCGTGCTCTTCAACTGCGTACATGCGCTCATGTCGCATCACTTGGAGGGCCTGATAACGCGTAGCATTTCTGTGCTCTACACCAACCTAACGAGATATGAGGTGAGTGTTTTGTTGTTTTGAAAGCTAAAGATACTTAGCCTTATTACCATTATTAAATCTTTCAGGAGGGCAACGACATCGAACGCTATCAAATGTACGATAAGAAGCTGCAACGTCGTCCGCTGATGACATTGATTTTCTCCGTGGTCGGTGCGCATTTTGATGATCGCACCGATGATCGCGATGACACTACACCGATCTATAAATACGATGAGGAGGACGACGCGAGTCCATTTTATAGACGTCCTAGTATTTCATTCGAATTGGTTTGTAATKATTTGATGAGTAAAATTTTATTATTTTATGCTAGCTTTTGCTTTGCAGAGTCAACCTGAACTGGATCCAACTTGCGAATTCGTGATGAAAAATGAAGGAAAACTTTTCGGTTTTCCATACATAAGTGAGCTGCCAGAGTTGTTTACTCATATATTCAAGAAAATATTACGTGTTGGCTACCACATACCTCGTTTGGAATACTTCATGTCGAGAGGTAAGCACATACCTTTTCACATAGAAGAGTAGGGTATGGACTCCAAAGAAAGAAGTGACCTCAAATTCATATATATCTCAAGCGGAAGTGTGTTTGTTACTGACTCAAATATTTTATTAAAGATTTTACTCGAATTACATCCCTTGCATAATTTATATTTGATTTTACTTAGACGAAAGCACCTTCGGTTATTTGCATGTCGTCGATGAGTCGCATTGTGATATGAAGCGTTTGTATAAAAATGTGCACAGAATTGTCGAGAATAACTGGAGTGGTCTGCGTGTCTATTTGTATCCAATTTTCAAATACTATTCTTCATTATTCACAAAGAAAATGATGCCGATCGTCGAGAAGTTGTTCACTCAAAACATTGTTCCTGAATTGGTGGTAAGTACTTACATACTTGAATTTTGGTATTTTTTGGGGATTCTGATTTTYTACATCTTTGCGATTCCGAGCATATAGATAGAAGTAACTGTTAATATTATAATTTTGAGCTTTACTCCTATTAATGTAATGAAAAATGGAAATTGACATTGAAAAACTCTCATAATTGTTTATAAAAACATGACCCTAAAGGTTTTAGCGTCATCCATCCATGATTTGTRTGGCCTGAACAGGGTATATTAAATACATATGACAAGTAATCCCCCAGTTTTTGAGAAAGTTTTTCTTATAAAGCTGCTAATTTATATATAGCTCGTCAAAATCAAGCTCTTAATGAAAAAGTATTTTATTTCGCAAGATATCTTCAAGAATTTGGAGATAGTTTTTTCCAAGGCAATACTTCCACCCAATAAATTCTTTAGATCTGAGAAATATGGTGTGA